GATGCAGTCCAGGGTCTGGTTGGCTTTGAAAAAAGCCTAGCCACCAGAAACACCTACTGCAGGTAGGTTCTTCAGTGAAGTAAAGAGCCTCTTTATGGGAATAAAATAATTCACAGAATCTCCTGACTTCATAAGCCAGAGCCTTGAAGCATGGTGTAAAGAGGATTTAAAAGATAAGTGCATTGAGACAACCTCTTTATTTGGCTTGAAAACTGGTATCAGATTCTACTTTCAGCTTGGGTCCTAATGAATTTAGCAGGCTGCATTGTTTCCTGTGCCCTTCGTTACAGCTAATTATTATATGCATCACTTTGTCTAATTGGTTTGGTTAGCCACTTTATTTTTTACATTATCTATGACTATTCCAGGGTGTATCGCAGACATTGAGACATCTGCTTGAATGTAGCTGAGCAGAAACAGTGGTAGTTTTCTATCATTGCTAGGTGCAACAGAGAGAGAAGAAGCAGAAAGTTGCCTGTCAGGGAAACTGCCACCAGCAATTTGGGTCAGACCTTTTTGGCAGTGACCTAGTACTGCTACAGTGACGACCTCCCTGAGGACCAGCAGAGAGTTCATGACTGCCAGTTCTGTTCTTTAAAAAAAATAAAATACAACTGATGTTGTCATGGTGAAGTGTATATATTAATTTTGGATCCCCTGTCCATATACTGTGCTCTGGTACTTTCTCTCTTCTACCGTTTCTGTGTGTGGAGAAAACACAGGATGTGGTTAGTGGCTGTTCATGGACAGGTGGTATCCCATTGTTTTCTTTGATGCTGCTTGTTCCAGTAATGGCCCTTCACAGCAGACACCTTCTTATGTATCTGTCTCCTATTGTTTTTCTTACTATTGCTTGGGACTCAGAGAAATACATATTCTTAAGAAAATTTATGTTAATGTTTTCTAGAGGACACTAGCAGTTCCTGGAGAATAATCAAACAATTAAAATAGAGGATTTTGACACACACATGCAGTGACAGTACCTAAAAACAGAGTGGAGAAGGCCTCCATTTTCCACCTAACTGCAGATGTCTGGCACAGTTGTATGGTCTGATCTGAGGAAGGTGCTCCATTACCAGGAGAACTGGATCCTTGTTACCAGACATAGGGATCTGAAATGAAAAGGGACTTGAACTTCAAACTTGGATTGAACTTCAGCATACTGTAAGAGAACGTGGGTTTCAGTTCAAGTGGGCTTTTGCGAGGTCACAACCCGCAGTGTCCTGCTGCTTGGGAGGTGGCTTGTCTGGCGACACTTCGGAGGGTGTGCGATCCCACTGTTGCTCTTGGCTCCATGCTTGGGGGTCCTGGTGCTATCACAACACAGCACAGCTTTTCCGCTGCAGTTTTGAAGAGCATCAGGTAGAAAGCAAAGGAACAAAAAAGTAGTTGCTTTCAAAGCTGCTCGTGAGAGCAGCTCACAGGAGACCAAGGTTTATTTACTTTATTCATGTACAGAAGTCTATGATCACATATATGCTTCTAGAGAGGCAGTCTAAATTTGAAAGTATAATAGCTTTATTATTACTCAGGGTAATAGCTTCATTTCTTGAATTGATTATAGTCATCTCTCCTTTCTCTCCTTTTTTCTTCCCTCACACTGTTACTGCAAAAGGCAGCTTTTTTTTTTTTTTTTTTTTTTTTTTGTGTGTGTGTGTTGTACATTCTTAAATCTTGGTTGCTTTTAAATAGCATCAACAATGCTTGAGTTGGGAAGACAATAAATGGCGTGTTGTAATGTATGGTGTGTTTCTTGGCAGTGAAGTTAGTCCAAGGACCTCTGTTTTGGGTAGTATGAAAATCCTTGTGCATCTCTGGAGCCTTGGGAGAGTTTGGAGCAGTCAGCACAGTGCTGGGAAAGGCTCAAGAAAGAAAAGATCCAATCTGCCAACAAGGTCTCACGTTGACAAATGGTGGCAAGAAATGGGCCTATGTTAGCATCCATATCACAAGGCAAAGCTGAAGTCATAAAATTTGGCCTGAGCCTTTAAGGTAAAATTGGCCAGCTCTCTGAATACAAGGGATGAAGTTGCACAATGCAATAAGACAGACCTATCAGTGCTTGGTGAGATAGTCACGCTCCTGGGGGATTTCTGGCAAGTCAGAAAATACACACCTCTGCAGTCTGGACACTGGATTCATGCCAGTCAGCAAGTGCATCTTTCCTTTTTTAAAATCACATCTTCTGTTAGATTAGATTTTTGTCAATTGGTCAATACTAACAAACTTAAAATATTCTCAACTTTTGACCTTTTTTGTGTTGGTTAAGCATGGTTTATATAACAAATAGAAAGTAAAAGTAAAGCCAAGCTGTGCTGAAGCTAAATGCAGCTGCCTCTCACAAATGGGGTGTCACCAAGGCATTGAAAACCCTGTAATAATAAAGAAACTTGTTGTAACACTGCTCCCACTTGTACTCTAGCAGGTGTGTAAGCAGTGGTGCCTGTATTTCAGCCAGAGAATGTGGTTGTCTCCTGGAGTCCCTCAGGTTTCAACCAGTAGAAGCCCCAGTACTTTCTAGTGAATCTTGAGATTAGTCGTACGTGTCTGAGTTACCAAAGCTCACAGACTTAGTGGTTAGGGTTTAATGGGGTTCTGCTGAGAAAACCACGAGTGCTGGTGCTGACCATGTCAACGGCTACTGAGGCAAAGCCTGTGATGTCCTGTTGTAGAGGTGGTCCTGAAAGAAGGAACTGTCTGTGGCTAAACATGGAACAAGTGTAAATACTAAATAAGGTGTGTCTTTTCATCATAGCTCTGGTGACTAATTGCTGACAGACTCCTTTTTTGCACAGGAGCCAAAGTGTAAAGATGGGAGTGAATACATAGATGGCAGGATAGACAACTTCACCACAGACACGCTGGCACCGTCTCAGCTCTCTGCTTTGCTGTGGTCACCTGGCTCCAGCCACGTCCTGTCCCAGAGAACCGAGTCCACCAATGCAGTTAGCAGTGATGCCCTGAGGCAGAACATTTATGAAAACTTCATGCGGGAGCTGGAGATGAGCAGGACAAACCTGGAGAGCACCGAGACCTCATCAGAAACAGAGGACTCCAGTGGCGAGTCCCTCAGCTCCTTGGAGCAGCTGGATTTGTTATGTGAGAAAGAGCAAGGAGTGGTGCGCAAGGCAGGGTGGCTGTTCTTCAAGCCCCTAGTGACCTTGCAGAAGGAGAAGAAGCTGGAGCTGGTCACACGGCGGAAGTGGAAGCAGTACTGGGTCACACTCAAAGGTAAACCACTACATTGCTCCTTTGGCTTTACAGCAGCAGTTTTTTCCATTGTATCGCAGAAACTTCATGCATGCTGGTTTTTGTTGGCAACGTTTAGGGGTGTCGGAAGTTTGTACCAAACTTTACATGGTCTACCCACATGCTTAAAATGGAGCATGGACTTAAGCAGCCTACTGACTTGAGGTCATTGAGATTGCATGTGCGGCCTTGCATATTATATCATAGTGGGAATTATTTTATCTGACTTGCCAGTTTCTGTACTCATGCAAAATTGGGGGTTTAGAAGATGCTTTTGGGTGTTTGGAGGTTAAAGACCAAATTGGACCAAACTTGAGAAAAATACAGAAGTTAAAACTCTGTCTTGGGTGCAGCAAAAATTTAAGGATCATGAGAAGTCCCTGGTGCCTAGGTCCCTGTCACAAGCATGCAGTTCCTTGGCCTCTGCTGTGAGGTTTACTTGAAGTTGGGTTAGGTTAATGTAAAAATGTTTAGTCCATTTCCAGTGCTTCAGGTAGCAACCTGATGAAGAGGTCAACTCCTCGTGCTAGAACATTTACATAAAAAAGTGTGTAATTCAGGGCAAAGGAGGCCAAAATAGCAGCAGAACAGGAAGCCCTGCGGTGCCCAAGGCTTAGCTACCATGGACCACTCCCCGGGGCTTGCCGGTCTCTCCCTCCTTTCCGTGGATGGTCTTCCACCGTACCCACTCCCCACAGTATCAACCTCTTCTGGCTTTCAGCATGCCCCCTTCCCATCTCCCCAGGCTGCTCCTGCTGTGAGACAGCCCCTTGGGAAGTCAGCCCACCTGAACGGGGCTGCCGCTGGTGGGCTGCGCTGTGATTGCTGTGCTTACCTGCATGGTGCAGGGCAATTGGGCAGGTCGGTGTGCCACAAGAAGTGTGGGTGTCACAAAGGAGAGAAGGAAAATAACACCTATTGTGAGGAGGAAGAGGAATTTCACGAGCGAGTTCATTGTTTGGTGTTTTGTTTTTTTCTTTTCCCTAGTTGCATCCAAAGGATTTGCCTTTCAGTAAATATAATGCTAACTTAATGAGTAAGGAAATGATCGGACTTAATAATTTCCTAGCGTATTTGGAACCAGAGGAGAGAAAATAACAACTTTCCCACAGGTTGCCCTTTTCAAAATTCTGCATGGGCGTAGACCTGAAGAAAAATGAGCAGCAAAGAGCGAGTGCTGGAAACATTGTCCTTGGTAGCGCTGATTTAAAAGAAGTGCACTCACAAGAATGTAGCAATTCTACCTAATAATTCAGAGACCTGTTATCAAGGGATCAAAATGTAGGCAGTCTTAACAGTTTAAATCACTTACCCCGATTATCAGATAGCATGATTCATGCTTACAAGCAGTGTATACAAAGGGAAAAACAGTACCTGAATTCTACCCTCTCTGTTGTATGTGCTTGCATTATGGACTATGAATGTGAGTTTCATCTGCCTCTTCTAAAGTTCAAGAAATTTGTAAACAATCCTGCAACACTGTAAACTGAAGTTCATTACATACAAGTAGTTTGTGCATTTCTGGGATAATGAAGATCTGGGAAGGAATTTATATGCTTCGTGTTTGGTTCTTTGCTATAAAATTGGCTTATTGGTGACCCTGAACAGGGCACATTCCTTCTTGCTACCTGAATTTCCCCTACTATAAAAAAGAAAAATAAAATTCTTTTAAAAAAGCTTTATTAACATTTAACATTATAAGAAGTATTAGATACAATGTTTTTTGCTTCAGATGGGTCATATGGGGTGATCCTGCGTTCGTGGTGCAGAATCTCTTCCACTTTGTTAGCTGTTTTAAATATACATTCCTCATTTCCTTGATTGATGACCTTTATTGTCCTATGGAGACTTCTCGTGCCAAAATAAACTTGCCTGTCTGGATATCAAGGCGTAGTTCTGATTTTATAATATGCTATATCAAGATCAAGGAGCTTGCCTTGGTTCTCCTTACACAGGGTTTTGAATAAATCTGTGTTTAATTTGTTCATAAAGTTTAAATAGCCAAGATATTTAAAAATATGACTTAAAATAGCCACATATGCAAACGGAGAACAGCATGGGTTTTTGCACTCTGTTGAAATGTGTTTAATTATAAATATGCACAAGGCTTATAACCATCTGGTTACCTGCCAGACTTCAAAGTATACATGTCCTGAGGCCTCTGCTCTACTTTCAGGGCCACCAAGACCTCAGCTTGAATAGTAACCCTTTCACAAGAGAAATTCTCTTTTGCATCTGTCCTGTCTAACAATTTAATGAGGGAAATTGCTTTCCCATTGCCCTCTTCTTTCAGTTCAAGTTTTGATTAAAATACTTGGACAATGATCAGTCTTAATGGGTCTGTCAGACTTTATGAAACTAGCTGCTTCTGGAGATCACTTGGCTTGACCTGTAGATATACCTGGGGTGCCATACACCTGAACGCATATGCATGCCCTTCAAAAATTTTTATTTATGTATATATAAACTATCAGGATGAAAAAATTATCTATCTTCAGTTATCTTTCTGATAACAAATAGGGGAAATATGGTAGTTTAAAATAGAACTTAATTTGCATTTTCATAAAATGTGGAAGTGGAAGTGGCTGTACAGTGCTGCTGCTGAATATAAGAATGGACTTGGTTTCGTTGGTTTAGTTTGCCTCGTTACGTTGAAATGATGACAGAAGTGCCATGCCTGATAAGCGGAGTGTGACACATCATGTCTTTCATTTCCAGCTGCAGAGATCCCCAGGTGTTTCAGTGTCATAAAGAAGATCGAGTGAGGGCTTTTAAGGAGAAAGGATAGGACTAGCTGTAGGGTTTGCTCTTACCTTAAATATTCTGCCAGACATGCTGGACAGTAATAGGAAAAGGTGCAATTAAGCAGTACAGAGGCATTTCTATTTATTGCATTCCTTCCTTTGAAAACTTTTCAGTCATCAGATGGTCAGTAACCTCTGATATGCATTTCTTTTTTCTTTTGATTGTTGTACATTCATCGACACTGGAGTATGTGATGAAATCCATCCGATGGATCTCACTTCTTGTACACTTGAGATTTGGACTGTATGTGTGACATATATTCTACCTCATAACTTTTCACACCGAATGTGTCCCATAAACTCTGGCAGGCCCAGTTTTTCTCTTATCAGACAGAAGAATCAAAAAACCCCTTGATTTTGGTTCTGATTTATCTTTGAGGAAGCTCCATTCAAATTCACGTGACTTTAGATGATGTCTCTGTGAATGTTAATACAAGATTAAATGTAAATGTTAAGAGAATTACTAAAATAAAGCTTGAAATCTGTTTTTAACTACTTTAAAAGCATGCACAGAGGAAACATTTCCATTTGCAGGTTTCGCTGTGTCACTTTAGTATGCACTTTCTAGGCGTCTTTGCATGTGCATTTGTACACAGAGAAGCAACAACAGCCTGAAAATCAGCAGGTAACCCAGAATCTCAGTTTTGACGCTGCCCTGTGCTGTGGTGCCTCTTTGATTGGAAGGAAAAACAACAAAAAGTGGGCTAGTGAGGCAACAGTACTGTAGCCCTAGCAAACCTAATCTTCACATTGGCTGAATTTCGAGTCCTCTACTGAGTATGTATAGAGTTTCAGCAGTAATATATTAATGGATTACTAGGCTCTAAAGGACCACTGTGATAATTTAGTCTGTCTTGCTATGTCATGCAGTCATAGAATCATAGGATGTCTGGGCTGGAAGGGATGTCCAAAGGTCATCTAGTCCAACCCCCCTGCAATAAGCAGGGACAACTCCAACTAGATCAAGCTACTCAGAGCCTCATCCAGCCTAATCTTGAATGTCCCCAGGGATGAGGCCTCCACCACCTGTCTGGACAACCTATTCCAGTGGTCTATCACCCTCACATTGAAGAACTTTTTCCTAACGTCTAACCTAAATCTACTCTTTTCTAGCTTAAAGCCATTACCCCTTGTTCTGTCACTACAAACCCTTGTGAACAGTCCCTCCCCTGCTTTCTTGTAGGCCCCTTTCAGGTACTGGAAGGTCACTTTAAGATACCTCCAGAACCTCCTCTTCTCCGGGCTGAACAACCCCAACTCTCTCAGCCTGTTTACATAGGAGAGGTGTTCCAGCCCTCTAATCATTTTCATGTCTTTCTCTGGACACACTTCAACAGCTGCACATCCTTCTTGTGCTGGGGGCTCCAGAGCTGGACACGGGACTCCAGGTGAGGTCTCACTAGGCCAGAGTAGAGTGGCAGGATCACCTCTCTTGATAGGTTAGGTCTTTTCTAAATTAATTCCTGAATGAATTTGACCGTAATTTTGGAGAAGACCAGCCTTGCTGATCATCAGCCTCATATTTTTCTAACTGCTTAGGTTATCTTCAGTTTTCAAGGATATACTATCTGGTCTTACTTCTTTCAGGCTAAACATTCATCAATAACATAGTACTAATTTATCTTTCAAATTAAAAAAAAAAAAAAACACCAAATCCTCTGCTATTTGACTGCTGTTTCCCAGGGGTGAAAGTTTTTTGGTATTTTCTTTGGATGCACAACTAGCTTGAGGAATTCTTGAAATCTGATTTATAACTACATTATTTTAGTAATGCAGTTCAGTCTGTGACCCCATGAACAGGCAAATCAGAGCATCTGAGAGGACAATGGATTGTAACGTGGGGCAGGAATGGAGGGCTGGCAGGGTTGGAGGGAGCAGACCCTTCTTGAGCCAGCTTCACTGCCAAAGGCATCATGGCAGTGTACTCATACTGCTGGGGACTGGGATTATACCTCCTCTGCTGTTCTCCAAAAGTAATTCCAGAAGGATTATCATTGTCAAGAATGAAGTTTGTTTTCTGGATGCAAGTTTCATACCTTAGATGTTACACTATCTACAAGACTGAACATGCTCAAGCTCAGCCCCTTTAAACTGTTTTAACTTACTTGAAGTTGTCTTAATTTGCAGGTGGATTCAAGGAAATCTGGTTTAAATTTGAGAAGTTTATTCACTAAGTGTTTTGTTTGAAGACAAAAGTTTCTGCAAATCTCTTCAACAAATACAAAGATTTCTTAGATGGTTTTTATGAGAGAGTTGATTCAATTTAATAAAGAAACAAGCTGATTTAACTATGCAGGAATGTATCTTTGCTACATGCTTTAACATTTTAATAGGCTGAGTTTATTCACAGAACCACAGAATGGTTTGGGTTGGAATGGTCCTTTAAAGATATGTAGTCCAAACCCTCTACCATGGGCAAGGACATCATTCACTAGATCATGTTACTCAAACACCATTCAGTCTGAACCTTTAACACATCCATATTGAGACATCCTGTTTTATTTTGTAAGTCCACGGATGTCGTGTCCCTGTTAAACGTCTGTTTCAACTTTTCATTGGCAAATTCTTCATCCACTTTTCTTGTTTTCCAGCTTGGATATTCTTCCTTTTTTCTCTATTATAAAAGAGGAGCAAAAGTGATGTTCCCTGTTCACTGAGGGGATGTCTTAATCCAGAAGAGCATTAATATAAAGGAACTCAAATGGGAGATCCAGAACTTACTTTCTCCTTCTATGTGTGTGTTTGTTTTGTCTCTCTGAACTACAAAGGTTGTACTCTGCTGTTTTATGAGACCTACGGAAGGAACTCGATGGAGCAGAGCAGTTTGCCTCGATACGCCCTGTTTGCAGAAGATAGTATAGTTCAGTCTGTTCCAGAACATCCCAAGAAAGAAAACGTGTTCTGTCTCAGCAATTCTTTTGGAGATGTCTACCTGTTTCAGGTAACAGTATGAATGTGTGTTTATTTCCATTTTAGGAGATGTTTGTGAGTATGCATATGCGTGCATATGATTGTGTATATGCATGCATACATATGCATCATGCTTGTGCCTTTGACTTAAAAATAATAGCATAATTACATCGTTACTATATACTGTTATAACATTGATTTAAGTGTGTGATACAACTTCAGGTATATATTACACCAGTTGGCTCAGTCAGTTATCGTTCAGAGATTAAAAGAACAAAGATCACAAATCTGTACGATAGTTTTGGTACCTTATTTTTAGAAGCTTGTAGAAATTTTTTCATATCTATTAGCATTGCAGCCTTAGAGAATGGAGTGCTCAACCCTGAATCTGCTGGCCTCAAGAAGAGTTTGCTTGAGCAAGGTGTTCAAGAAAGAATGTTAAAGATAATGTAAAGGTCTTGGTTGCTTAACTTGCACCACTGGAAGTGTTAATAATGAACAGTATTAGGTAGAACTACCTGGTTCATATGCACACTTGTAAATATCTCCAGAGACTCTGCACAGATGTATTCTCTTTATCTTGCTGTCCTCTCTCCACTAATTTGGCATTTTTTAAGCAAGCATTTTTTAAGCCTCTCCTCTGATCTTACATTTAAAATCTTCTCTGTGCTATGTTATGTCCAAAAGAGAAGGTTTATCTTTGAAGCCTGGTGGGTTTTACTTTAATTAGAGGCATGAAGGACACAAGTCACATCTTTCTCACAGCCCCTGGGACTTTGTTTTGCTCCTGAGACTCTCAGACCTTGCAGGTCTAAGAATCAGAAGCTGAAGGTTGGAGGCAAGTCATGACAAAGTGCCGGGAAAACTCACGCTCTCTTTATTTGCACAGTTTTAAAGATAAAGCTTTATTTCACTCATTTTAAGGTCAAGTGCTTAGGATCACAGTGAACCTGTCAAGCACTTCATGCCCTTGATCTACTGATTTTTATTTTTTATTTTTTATCTTGTCTGCTCATAACGTTGTGCCATTGATTTGTTTCACAGGCAACAAGCCAGACAGATCTGGAGAACTGGGTTACTGCCATACATTCAGCCTGTGCTTCCCTCTTTGCAAAGAAGCTTGGGAAAGAGGACACCGTTAGGCTGCTGAAAAATCAAACCAAGAGCCTCTTCCAGAAGATTGACATGGATGGCAAGATGAAAAAGATGGCAGAGTTGCAGCTGTCAATTGTTAGTGATCCAAAAAACAGGAAAGCCATAGAGAATCAGGTACTGGAAACAATACTTTTATGGGAGTATATTTATTTCTTGCTTTGGGTGCTATCTGTGCATTCTAGGCCTGAGACTAATTGTCTTGGGGACAGCTAGCATGGTAGTTGGTAATTATTGCCAGTTTTCTACAGCAATCCAGAGCAGTGCAAGAAGTAGGACCCTCAAAGCTGAAGATCAGACCAATCTGTTTTATGAGCACAGAGCTATTTTCTCTTCTGGAAAAATGTAATTAATTTTCACTGGTTTATGACATACTTAGCTGTTAATAATATCTAGCTGTTACACAGCATACCACAGAATGAATATGCAGTACATTCTGTGAATAATTTAATTTCTTATTGAATTACAGTAGAGATTGAAGAACAGGTACTTGGCAATACTGTTCTGCACCCTAAGACAGGATGTAAAGAGTTCTTTATGGAAATAAAACTGGAGAAAAGATGGAGGCAGAAAAAACACGCTTCTGCTGAAATTTAGCTGTGACTAGGTGGCCAGAATCCACTAGGCTTCATAAAAGCCCCACAGGAGTCTAATTGAGAACGAGAAGTCATGACTGGAGTTTTCCATCCTAGGTGGAAAAGAAGACATCTCATAATTTGAATTTGTTGACTGGTATGTGAGAGCCTACCCCTACTTGCCTTTCGAGTTAGGTTAGTTATTGCTTTGTCATTACTTTAGGCTGCACATTCTGGCCTCTTGAGTAACAACGGGAGCTTGTTTCGTTTGATCCAATACAACATAATTATGTTTATTGCTTAGTGGAACACTTTTAGGTTTAGGAATTTGATGCTTATAATATTTAAAAGCCTTGCTATACGGGTTTGAACTTGACAAAGGGCAGACAGACTGGTACTGACTCTGCTGTCGTGTCGTGTCACACACTCCAGTCTGAAGCTCTGTGCAGAGTTCAAAAAGTATGCAGGTTTATGTAGGGATTTGTGGTGCAGATGTTCATGAGCCCTTCGAGTAATCAGATGTTCACAACTGATTTCCAGGTTACTTTATTTCATGGCCAAGAGCCTAGTGAGGTGAATAGAGCAGGAAGAGTGTTAAGCATCCGTTTATTGCAGTAGGTTTTGAGACCTAGAACAATACACAGATTTCTAGAGATGTCTAGTGCATGTAACATGTGATGCATTGAGGAAAAATCCTGTTGTATATTAACTTAATTTACCTTTCCTTCCATTAGATACTGACACTAGTAGCTTATTTAAAGTCAGACGAAGAGTGTTAATTGTTCCCTCTCAATATCTGTTCTGTCCTTGAACAACTGCTTTTGTTTTGCAGCTCAGTCCCTGCATTCTGCTAGAACTGAAATCAGTAGGACTGTAGAAGTCCTAGTCTATTATTCCTGTTAATCTTCTGTCTAGGAATGTCTCAAAACATTGAATGAGGGCAAACCAGCGAGACAAAGAGAGAGATGGATTCTGGCCAAACATCCACTAGTTAGCAAACAATATAACTACAATGAGCCTTTTCTCCAGTCTTGAACCGTTTGCCAAAGTTACTTCAGAGAAAAGTCAATAGATAACTGGATTTCCTAATCTTTTTATTTAGTGTCTCAGGGATTTACTTTTATGAAGGAAAAAATAAAAAATCTTGATGTAATTAGTAACCCAGAATTCTTAATATAGCTAGTAAGCTAACAATTTTGAAAAAAACCAAAGCATTATTCCTGAGGGAAAAGTTTGCATGTGTGTAGGTCAGTTGTTTAGTAACTGTGGTTGTTTTGTTGTTCTTGCCCACTTTGAGTAACAAGAGGAATATAAATCCTGGGCTTGGTTTTGTGTAAATTTGGTGGTGTTTTCAATCATGTGGCAGTTATGATTCCTTCATGCTGAAGTATGTTGTATTGCCAATACTGTAGTTTGTAAGCATGCCTTACATCCTGTGCTGGAAAACTTCTCTGGTGATATATTTTGGGAAGTCATTGGAAACAGTGTGATTGAATTGAGAAGGACCATGGCGGTTTTTTATGTAGAAAGATGAGGCACAGTCTTAGTTTATTTACAGTGGGGAATTACCTTGGAAACTGTGATTTGTATATCCTTTTTCTTTTTCCTTCCTCTTCCTCAAAAAAGCAACCACCCAATCTTAGCCTTCTGTTTTCTTTCACTTCTGCATTAATTGAAAACCAATACTTCTCTGCTGAAGACAATAAGTCAAAAGGCTTTACAAGCTGCACTGTCACCTGAGAGGCAGTTGCAGTAAGGAAACTTGGACTTCTAAAATTGCTGTAGGTAGTTTAATGTTCATGTGTGTTTCTTTTTGGTGTCCAGCAAATGGACTAGAGAAGCTCATCTGATACCATCGTTTAAATCTGGTGGATTTGCAGGCTATGAATTGATAAAGCTAGTGCTAAATGGAAGAAATGCAACCAAAAAAAAATTACAAGGTAACTGCTGGTTTTCTAGAGAAATGATTATTTTAGACTTCATGCTTTTGAACTGGTTGAGAAAGGTCTTCAGCCTTTATGCTGGAGACATATGCATTTATGCAATAAATATGTTGTAGGTGGTGGTATTCCCCCAGGGTGTAACTTTTCCCCTAAACTGAAGAGAACTAGGACAAAAGGTAGCAAATTTGAAAATCCCCTGATGCCAAGACAAATTTCAAAGCCCATCTCTAAAAAAGAAATAAATTAGTTTTCCTACCTGTTTAACCTGCTAGAGAAATCACAGTATTTGCTATGAATATAGAGCCCTGGCTAACTGCTACTGAAGGTAGTGAAAGGGATCATTAACATTTATTCAGAACTCTTAACAAAATATTGCACATTACGTCAAAAGTGGGACTGTCTGTGCCTGTAGAACTGGCTTTAAAGGGATGGAAAATCTACCTCACAAGGAGTGCACTGCAGCTCTGGGTGTACTTCTTTATGTGCTTGGTACGTAAATCTATTCTGTTTTCTCACTTCAGAACAATAATATGAATATTAGTTGCTTGAAAGCATTTTTTATTTTTCTCTTCACATTTTAGTATGTTGGTATAATTGAGTTTTCCAAGCTATTCAGAGGTTTCTGATGTGATTTGTGTTTTTTGTGCACACGATATTTAAGTTACTTATTTCATAAACTTACTGTTTATGAAAATAGGTATTTATTTGCGGGCACTGAAATGATGAGGCAGTAATAAGAACAGACATGTGCTTAAGGGTATTTTTTTTGTAGAAGTTTTTGTATAGGTCCTCCAATTAAAAGTAGTTTATCTGTTGCCATAAAAAAATAAAGGGATCAGGAAGGTGATGGTCTGTCTACTCTGGGTAGTCATTGAATCCATTAGTAGGTTTCTTCCTTTCCCTGTAGTGGTCTTTGGCTTTTTACAGAGAGCAAAACTTCATGTTTTTTTCTCATTAAAAACCCACCTGACTCTTTCTCTTTTCTCTCACATTTATAGGAGGATGATTGGAATAGTTTTGGGAATTTTATTCTTCAGGCCCCCCAAAGCTCAAATTTCATGTCTTAATTTTCTGTAAAGCATCAGATGAAATATTGTCTGAAATTCAGTTGGAAACTCACAATAACAACGTTCAAAGAGAATCTGTTCAGGGAACTTTGTTAGCACTTGCCAGTTTTGTCACATACAAATTCAACTTGAATCTCAGTCACAGAATCATAGAATTGTTTAGGTTGGAAAAGACCTTTAAGGTCATCGAGTCCAACTGTTAACCCAGCACAGCCAAGTCCACCACTAAACCATGTCCCTGAGTGCCACATCTACAAGTGTTTTAAGTACGTCCAGAGATGGTGACTCAACCACTTCCCTGGGCAGCCTGTTCCAATGTTAAACACACAATGCAATACACAATTACTTTTCTTTTTTCTGTGCCCTCCAAAACCAAAAAACATTATCTAAACTTGTTAGAACAGATCTTCAGTTTGGATCATCTTTGAACTGGCTAGTCCAGAGCTCTCCTTTCTGACAGGTTCAGTACTATTTCTTTTCTGGTGTCACTTTTCAGTGTAGGATGGTCCCTCCTTACATCATTGCCAAAATCCTTCTCTTTAGTAGTTGGTTGTAGACTACCACTACGGAATGAAGTGAGTAGGCAGCCAGAAAGTTAGGGATTACTTTCTCCTCATCACTGTAATTGCTGGTTTGCAGATGGGTGAATTTCCATCTCTATTTTGCAAAGATTTAGTATAAAATAATAAAAATTTAATAAACTATTACTGCACGTGGAGTTGCATAGCATTATACCATATGATGAAGCTGGTGGAGGAGTGTCTGCAGAATGGGCTGGTCTTCTGGTTTTTAGGGAGGAGCAGCTGCCTCGTTAAGATTCAGTGGCTTTCTGAATTACATCCCTAGCAATAGAAATACATATGGTACTGCTAATAATAAACAGATTATTGACAAGTATGTAAGTTTGGTACGTAGGAGTGCACTTTTGTGCCATCAGTGGTATTGGGAATAAGTATTCTTCTATTTGTTCGGTTGAAAATGATGACAATTCTGTTCTTCCAAAACAAGCAAAAAGATGGCATTTAGTGTAAAAAAAGCTCTACTCTTGTTATTTCATTTCAGGAAGTTTTCTTAACTGTTTAAATCGCTAGGCAAAATGAAGAATAAAGGGTATTGCTAATTGTACACTGTTGTTGTACTCTATTCTGTTCCCTTTTTTATTTCTTTGAGCTAAAAGTTATGACAGTATCTCTATAGACTCTTAGGAGAGTGATGGTTTTGCTTCTTTGAGTTCTCTTTAGGAAGCAATGACAATAAAAATCTTTTCCCTGTCCCCAGAAACCAAGTGACTCATTTATCCAGATGGGTACAATATGAATTGTCTGAGAACTAGAGACTGGAACGCAATGAGTTTGGTGTTGTTTGTAATGTGGTTGAAAAGCTGTTCATATAAAACAGCAGCAGAAGTTTCTTTCAAATCCATAGAGTTCCTTACATCAGCTTGCAGAGACACTTTCCATCGGGGAAGATGATGTTGCATAGGGGAAAATTCTGAACTTTTTACTGCTATAGATAGTGAATTGTGTCAGTGAGGAATTTATGTTTCTATATGGTATAAGAACTATTACTAAATCTAATATAGTTTTAAAGGCTTAAGCACTGAGAGAAGGCCCTCTTCCCTATGTCTCTTTTCTTTTGTGCTGCTTTAAATAAGTTTCTTCCATCCTTCCTCTGGGTCCTTGAAGTATTGCTACCTTGAATGGATACAGTGTAATTTCTGGCACTGCTTTCCCCTGGTCACATACTGGTTTGGGTTTTATTACATTGAGCTCTTCTTACTTTGTACAGAACAGGTATTTGAAAATGAGAGTCCTCCAGCCCCTCAAAAGATGCTGTTTACACTGTAGGGTAAGGAGGGTGAGGAGCCAGGGACCATCTCTGAGCCACACTGTTGGCACTGCCTTTGCTGGGACTGCCAGGGCCCTCCCTTGTACAGTCTGCAAACCATAAGCATGCTTGAGTGAAGGTGGAGGTGCCACTAGAAGTGTCACTAGAGAACTGTATAGCACCTAGGAACTACGGATCCCCATGTCACCTGCTGGAAACTACTGGTCTGTATGGTCTGATCTGAGTGTATTTACTTGTTGCCTTTCCCAGGCTCTCATTTTAGAGTTTACTTAGAGAGAACCTAGCAGAGTGGTTGAATTAGCAGAGACCTGCTTTCAAGCATCTTCCTTTAGCTCATCTGTTTGTGTGTTATATAATGTAATTAATTAATTTACAATTTCTTCTTAATGTCTGAACAGGTTTTTCACTAACCTTCGGGAGAATTGGTTATTCATGTTCTGAAGACTATCATTACTGCTCAAGTACTGTGAAAAGTACCATGCTGATGTTCCTTTCTATGTTAGCTCTTATAAACTCATTCCTGAACTAAGTCTCTGATGCAAAAGCTCCTCCCCTTGCTTAGCACTCCCTGCGGAGTTATGGTCTTATCCTTGCACCAGTCTTCCTTGCATAAGTTCTCCTGGTGGCCCAGGTTAATTCATGGCCCTAATTCTTAAGGCTTCCCAGATTTTACTTCTTCCTGTCTCTACCATAGCCTCCTTTTTGTCTGTACCATCCAGGGATCCCATTAGGCTGAGTACGTGTACTTTGGTGGCCACTCTTTTCCTTTCTCCCAGACGCTCTCATGCCGCCACTAAACCCAGGAATCCTTTGCCTAACATTTGCCTCTACTGAGAATGACATCCTCTTTTTCCTCTAGAAAAAGCCTTTAAAGCTTTTCCTAGAAATTCACATGGAAATTTTGACATAGTGACTGAGCAGGGATGATTTTGGATGCACTGGGTGCTGTATCTGGTGGCTCAGGAAAGCCAACTGCTGAGCAGGTCGTGCAGGGAGCGTTTCACATGTGCTTGCTTGTTTTGGTGTGCCTCATGTTGGGCCCTATCTCTGACCTCTTTGTGGTCTTACTTCATGCTGCTGTTACTGTTTGTCACTCATTCCCGCTCTGAGGGCTCTCTGGTGGATCCACTTTTTCCTGCTTGCTTTTGAGCAGATTTCAACAGGACCATTTAGTCTGCACATGATGAAGTTAAATCCTTGAGCCCTCTTTCTGGCAGTCCTCCCACGTGGGACAGAGATTTGCTTCACACAATAGCAGAATAAGGATCACAGCCGCTAGTCTGCAGGCTGTAAATTAACTTCATGGACCAGGTCATACTGTGCTTTGAAGTTGTTGCTTTTTTATTTGTGTGCTTCCCCCATTTAGTCTTGAGGAACATAAATCGTTAGGAAGAATTATCATAGTTTAAAAGGCTTAGACAAATAGCAGCTGGTATTGGTACGTTGTGTCCAATTGGATCCAGACATCCCTGTTTTTGATAAGACTACAAGAAAATCCCAGAAATTCCCTACCTACAGCTTTTGCTAATGCCATTAAACATAACGCTGTGAATACTGGTGCTTTTGGAACTGATTAGCTGGCATCCTGCGTGACTGCTAAACACTGTAATTTAATTATTTCTTCAGGATGTCCTCATATTGTACCTTACTCCCCCTTCTTAAATTATCTTTATTTTAAAACACAATTTAATACAAATGTTTACTGGGGATTTTGAAGAAAGCTTCAGAAACACATGGATGCCTGTATTCAGCTCGTGCTCAAGTGGGGACAGGGTGCTCTGCTCCAGCAGCACCCAGAACAAGTCTTACTCTGTTTCCATGCTATTGGAAGTTGGCTTGGCTTTGTACCCATGGGTGTGTCATCTTGAAGAGAGAGACTTCACCTGAGCTTGCAGCTTTTGGCTTTGTGAAAAGCTGACAGCCATGTTTTCATTCTACTTGGGTGTCGACACAGAGAAAGCGCCCGTTACAAAACCTCCTATTCTGGTCGTCCCATGCGTAAAGTACTGGCAGGCAGAAAAATGCCCTGTGAGGAGTGTCTGAGAGCACAAAGAAAGCAAGATAAAGGGCAGTGATTGAATAAACCCAAGAAAAAAATGATTATTCTTTCTGGGGTGCAAACGATGCATGTTGTGAATATCTGTGGTGAGGCATCTTCATTATGTGTATGTCTCTGTCCTTTTTCACTGGACTTTGGGGAATTGCTCTCATGATAAGCTTTTGTAAATTCTGTCTTTTGCTTTCAATAATGATTTCTTTAAACTTTGGGGTTTGGTGTTTTTTTGTTTGTTTTGTTTTTTTCTGTTTGTTTGGTTTTTAGTGTGCTGTAAATTGTTTTTGCATTCACAGATGTACAAAATAGTATGTTGTATTCCCTTTCTTCACCCTACCTGCCAAATAAAATTATTTCTTGCTTCCAAAAGTATAGCCATAACTGATGGCACAGTTTCTGAGTGCACGTGTAAGGAAGCCAGACTCTATCAGTTGTAGTACAAGCCTTAGCACCATTTTGTTAACAGGGCCTTTTTTATCCTTTGATTGCTCACTTCTTCACTATTGAAAGTAAGAGGCAACGTACTTGTTTAGTTCTTGTGATATTTGACAGTATTATAAGGAAACTGAACTGATTTTGCTTCTAGATGAGCCTGCAGATCATAGTTCACCTGATATTTTTATTATATTAATCAGCTTGTTTTCTAAGTCACAAAGGTGCTTGTCCCAATCTTGGTTAATCATAATGTAAGGTGATAATGTCCTGTATGCACAAGGACAGGCAGGGTGTGCCAGTGAAAGGTAGGAACTCAATGCACATCAAGGAAATGTGATGAACTTTCTCCACAACCTTAAAATACCTATTAAACAATCAACATGCAATGATTGGAGGTGACGTTGGAAGATCAACACTGTCAGGGGACTTTAATAGTCTTTAGTACATGAACTTGGTGGACATTAACCTAATGGGCATGCCTTTCTGTCTCCCCATGTGTGACTGTACCTACTCTGTTAACACACCTGGCCTTTTCTTTGTACTGGTTTTGGTATTAATGTATATTGTACACTGTGGGGCAGATTTTAGCTGCACCTACCAATATGTCAATTGAAAAGCAAAATTTGCCTTTTGTACAGAGCATAAGAATATGTGTTTGTGCAGATGAGTGTTCATCTACATGAATACTTAAAATCTGTCATCTGAGCCTTGATTGAGAACTTCATTTATCTAGTAACTACAGTGAGATGAAGAACTGCACGTGCTTGTTTTGCCAGTAGTGGCTCCTGTTTGCAGGTAGAAGGACCACAGGACCATCGTAAAGAACGAGCAGGACCTCTCAGTGTAGCTACCTCGCATTGCATGGCGCATTTGTGTAGCTAGGCTGCTTTGCTTTTAGCCAGCCAGTTATACAATCTAAGCTTGTGAAAATGGAGGAAACATAACTAATATCCAAAAAAGAGAGAGAAAAGGGGGAAAAAGGAAAAAAAACCCTTTGTGAACCATAAGGTTGTGTTTTTATGTAGCTACTTTTGTCGCTATTGAACTACCCGAAGTTCGTGGTATGTTCATCTTGTCAGTATGCGTTTAAGACCACCAGCTTTGTTTTATTTCAAGCCATCTTTTGGGTTGATGTAACACAATATGACTGAATGTGTTTTGGCAGGGAATAACTAATCTAATCCATATACTACCAGATGAAAGTAATTTACTATGGGTTTGGGGAAGAGCTTGAATTTTCAGTGCAGCCCACAAAGACATTTTTCCCCTTTTAATTGTCCCTTTTTATATCTAAACAGATCCAGCAATGGGAACAGAACCTGGAAAAATTTAACATGGACCTCTTCCGAATGCGATGTTACCTAGCCAGTTTGCAAGGTGGGGAGCTCCCAAACCCAAAGAGCCTTTTGGCTGCTGCCAGTCGTCCTTCAAAATTGGCACTGGGGCGGCTCGGCATTTTCTCAGTCTCATCCTTCCATGCACTGGTAAGTCCAAATACACTTTTCATGGGTGCATTGTACAAAGCCATTGTTAATACTGTACTTAGATGTGGACTTGTGCTGGGATAATACATGGCTGCCCGTACATTCGTTGCTGAGATAGCCTTGTTCCCTTCTCAGCCTTTCTGCCTGTTCCTTGACTGCAAATAAATTTTCTTCTGCAGAGACAGACTTTGAAACTATGAGGATATGGCCGTGACTTTTTTTTGGCTCCTGAGGACTCCAGAGTTGGGTACTTTTGACCTGTACCTAAAAAAAGACACAGACCATTCTTCAGATGTAAATGAGTCATTGTGTTGCAATTTTCTCACTGATCTCATCTCCACTGAGTTAAGGGTTTAAAGTGTATAGGACCTAAGTCACTTAGAGGGAAAAGACTACAACAATGAAATTTCCAAAAGTGGTTCAGGTCCCTCTAGGCTGAGCTGATCTTTTTTGGAGGTCCCAGATGGCTCCATTTTTCAGAAACAGTTTGATACCCTCCTGAAGAGGAAGTATTTTTAGAACAGGCTAAAACTAGAGACAATCCGAGATTTGTAAGTCACTTTGAAGGACTGTAGGCTGTGTTTGCAAAGAAGAATGAGGGTGATCCTCAGCTACTGTATGCTGTTGTCACCCCATTGGCTTCAAGGGAAGTAGAGCAGCAGCAAGTTTCTCTCTGCTTTTTAACCTTGGCAGGGCTGTGAGGCTGATCTTGGCAGAGAGGGGTGGGTGGACCACATTTGCTGCATGAGAAGTCAGCCTGAATAGTTGTTCTGAAAGTCCTGTCAGGGAATGTGTTTCTCTCTGCCACTGTTTCTAGCCATGTAGTTTGTGTCATTGCTTTGGCAATAACTCAATACCGTAGCACATTTATCTCCTACGTTTGGCAGTTTTGAGAAAGTCTCTAGCAATTTTATAAATGAATGATAGATAGCTAGATAGATAGCATTCTTCAGAGCCTTTTCATTGACTTCTTTTGTTGTACAGAGCAGTATTTCCTCATTTTGTCCCTTCCTGTGGTTGTCTGATTTTCCCCCATGATGAAAAAATTACACTGTCATGCCACTGGAATACCAAAACAAGCACCACTGCTGAAAGGTTAAAATGCCCTTGCACTTTGGCATATTACATTGAGGTGAACTGAAGTAACTCATTTGATGCATCAAGTTGAAAAAATTGTCAATATTCTGCTGTTACGAAAGTGATATTGGAAGACCTGTCTCTCTGTTTAAATAGATATGCTCCAGGGATGAAGCTGCTCTCAGGAAACGTACCTTATCTCTGTCACAAAAGGTCCGAAATAAGAAGGGTTTATTTTCTTCACTAAAAGGACTGGACACATTGGCAAGAAAAGGAAAAGAAAAGCGACCTTCCGTAACTCAGGTAGACCTTATTTACTGGGGATAGCATAGAATGGCTTGTTGCTGCTGGGGCTAGTCCTGTGAGGTACTGTTAATGCACAAGGTAGGAGGCATCTGTCCATCAAACTTGGCTTCTGGCACATTGGAAGCTGTTTGGAAGTAGAGTTTCTTTGGAGATAGCCTATATGCACAGTCCTTAACACAGTGTGTGTTGGTTTATGACTGGCCCTCTGAAGTCCTATTGCAATTTAATACAGAGTGATACAAATGAGTCTTCATGGGAAGAAGAGGAGACACTGCTGCAAAGACAGCTGTCTTTGGCATGGCCTCTCAAAGCAACATGGTGCTTGGAAGTACATTTTAGCCAACAGAAGAATGCTGTCATTCAGTAGGCCAGCTGTAGGTGTAGGCAGCTGACTAATAAAGCCATACTTGTTTACACCAGCTGAAGGTTTGGCACAGGTTTTATGTGCTGGGGCAGGCTGGCCCTGGGCAGAGGACTTGTGCAGATGTGTGGCTGGCTCAAGAGCTGCATTGCTGATGAAGCTACAGCAGCTCACAGGGTCTTTTTCTCTTTGTGAAACTAATTGCCTGTACCTGCAGTTAGTCTAAACCTCTCAATTCAGGAGTCTGCATTTTAGCAATAAAAACACAGTTAAATGTGAAACAAAAGTTCACTACCTTCTCCCTGAAAAAAAAGTAACAGAGACACTTCCTTCATGATGTGGTGGAAGGTGTAAGAGGTGCACCCATACTCAGAACATTACTATCCCACTATCCTTTGCCATGTCTTTTTTTCCCATTGCAAAGCAGTATTCTGTGCATTGTTCATTAGGTGACACTGTTCCTCTTGTTCCCTGGCCCTTGTATTTTGATCTTATTAGTCAAAAATCTGTGATCAGCACTTGGAAATTGGCTGTTCTTGCATGTCTGGTAATCTGCTTGTGGAATATTTAAACAAACCTATCTGTACACATACTTTAATAGTCCCAGAGCTGATGCAACTGATTTAATGTTGCAAACTAACACATCAGGATTTTCTGGTCTAATGGTTTGTGGTTTTAATGGGTAAATATTTATCTATATGTTACATTGAGATGAAGCTTCTTGGAGTGACTGTTATACATTTTAGCAGATTGATCAATCAGGTTGTATTTACGTGATAAAACTGAATAAAACTCAACGCTGTCTTATGAAAGAGGAAACTGAAGGAGAAATTTTCTCTCGGTCATCGTTTCATACTTGCCCTGTGTTCCCCAGCACAGGAGGCTGGTCTGTGAGTCCTGCACCTCTATTTCTTTATTAATAAGAGGTCTGAGGGAAGCAATTTTATGCCCCTTAGCTCTATTCCCTGCAGAGCTGATACCTCACACTGTCTTTACTTGGTAATACATCCTCCCATATGCTTTATAGCCCATGAAGGAGATTCTGCGGAGCTCAGGGACAGTGAATCTTACTTCTGTGGCAAGGAAAGGAGCCTCCTGCTGCCCTCCCAGTGTTTTCCCAAGCCCTGGAGGAGGGAGCTCTGGTGCTGGCAGAGGTGTCCCTGGTGTGTCCTCACCCTCCTTATTCCAAATCTTGTAACAAGCTGGCCCAAAAATATGTTCATTTTTATCCATGAACTGAGTTTCTTGATTTTGTTTTCTTTTTTTTTTAAATTAAAAATCCTACAATAAAATTAAGGAAATATAAATGCTGAGTGTTGCATATGAATAACACTGGGCTGTGACTCGTACCCATAAAAGAGAGGGATTTTTAAGGACGTGGCTTGAAAACTGCCCCATGAACCTAGGAGATGGCTGAAAAGGGACCCATGTCTGTGCTCAGGCTTGTGTGTATGCACTTAGTTGTGTATCAAAATCAGAACAGGCCCGAGGCTGCCTTTCTTGTCATCTGTTTCATCCTGCTGGGAAACTGGGTTAAGCAGAGAAGTGGAGCTTGCTTCTCTGCTCATTGTGCTGCCACATCTTTGTCAAACAATAGGTTAAAAGTCTCATGCTTTCTTGATTTAATTGAAGTTCATTTGACTGGAGCTGGTATGTTTTAATCTACTATACCCTAGCTTCAAAATTTGATGGTTTATTTTTGAACATTGTTGTGTCAGAGAAGTTTTTAATTTTATCTTAAGCTTAATGTTATGGTATTAATAAAAAAAAAAAAGTTAAAAGTTTTTATGCTGAGAGGCTTTCGTAAACATTAATGAAGTGGCTCAATCTTTTACAAATCAGTTAATAAAACTGCACTGTAGCAGATGGGGGATGTCTTGACTCACATTATCCTCAGTTTTTTAAATGCTTATCTGCTTTCTCGTGTCTAAATGATAAACTGTTTTGAGAAATTATAAACAATAAAATACTTTGATTGCATCCATGGGTGAGACAAGGAAGAAGTACAGAAATGGTGTCCTTTACTTGCATTGACAGAAACTGGATTTTGTATGAAATTTTAAGAGAGTTTATTGTTGTCTTGGATTATCCAAAGGGGTTTTGCTAATACAAAACAAACAAACAAGCAAAAAAACACCTAAAAAACTTAAACAAAAAAAGCTCAGATGTAAATTTGATATCATCTTCGTTTGTGGACTGCAGAAAGAGTTAAAAAAGTGCTGTTTATATTTACACTTTGGGAAGGTAGTTTTGTTACCTGTAAACCTCAACATAGTGTATAAATTGTATCAATCTATCTGTGTGTTATACAGCCCTTATTACCAAAATACCTGATTGTATCCGTAGCTATTTATTGGATTTTTAAGTAAGCCTAACACCTTTGTGTGATACTAGCAGTTAAGCTTTCAAACCAGATGGAGAACATAAGTCTCGGTTTCTGCTTTCATCATTTCCAGAGCAGACACAGCAGTCAGCTATTTTCATTACTTAATAGAGGGAGTTTGGCGTCAATTATGCCTTTAAAGCTAAGCTAAAAGTTTCCATCCATAGTGTCAAACTAACTGCTTGGTTAGAACAGATGAAAAACTATAGGGTAAGAAGTTTTAGAAAACAGCAACAGTGATTTGAAATAGTTTATTTAAATCTTTATGAGATTCGTAACTATACCTAACAGTATCCCAAGGGGTGAAATGGTAACTTCCAGTGTAGGGCATGATTTGAAGGTAAAGGACTTTAATCTTATTGCTAAACAGTAGATAGGAAAAAAACAAGGTTATGAATGCTTTTACACATATTTGAATGAGTGTGCACATAGCCTGGGAAAAGAAAACTTGCATAAACTTTCTTTATAGAGGGAGATTTGTATTTCTTTGATACTGCTTGTAGTCAGAATAAATCAATAAAAAGTACAAAAGGAGCCCTGGGGCTTAGAAGGTCGATATATATTCATTTAGTTTAAATTTTTATTTTTTCCAAAGAACTTACCTAACACAGGTAAGAAATAATGGGGTTTATTTGTTTAACATATTTATTTATCTGTGATATATTTGATAGATTTTTGATTCAGCTGGAGGACATGGGCTTGCTGGTGTCCAGAATTCAGTGAACTCTGCTGAGGTAAGATATTCCTGTCCTCATTCTGCACTATTTTGTTTTGAAGTTCCTGAATGTATTTCCTTAAGTGTATGATGAAGGTGCTTCAGAAATCACATAGAAGTTAATAAGATGCAGTTAGTGTTAGATGGCAGGGTTATAATTCTGCTAATGCAGTCACCTTAACATAAGCTTCTGAACATGCGTGGTAGCTTTTTTTTAAAAAAACAATAATAATTTAAAAATGGCATTACCCAGTAAATAGCTGTGGTTGATGTTCTCTGGTAACCAGAAGAAGGAGAGCAGCTGGTTGTCCCTGCCTAGTGTGAGCCATGGTCCTCCTCAGTGCCTGCAGCCTACCTGGGGAAAATGCCACTGTCCTCCAGTCTGGAAGCAAAGCAGGATGCTCCAAAATCCATAACTGTGTACATGTAGGACCACTGAGTGTTGTCTGTGTACTGGGGGGCTTATGCAGACAGAAACCTTCTCCTTCTGTAGGCTTGTGCAGGCTTCAAATAAAAAAACCCCAACAACTCCATATTAAATCTTAGGCACAGGGCTTCTGGACTTTGTTTTTGGTGTGGTGCAGATGGGTTTCTTTAATGGCATCATGTGCCGTACTCAAAGGGGTATTCGTCTTCCCATCTAACTCCTGTCCCTTTTCCTTCTTTGTTCCCTGAACCAGATAGTCACCTGATGCTGTTTAAAAAAAAAGAAACAAAAATTTAAAAAAATCATGCTATGGTTCTGTCCCCTTCCGGCTGATGTTGTGTACTAGATATTAGACAAAAAGTCAAAATCTCCATTTAAAATGAAGTATTGCTCTTGAAAATATTTAACTGTAATGAAGAGCTGTAATGAATCTTGTAGGGAAGGTTTGGACAAAGATCATAGTTCCTCATAGGCTTTTATGTTTGGGGTTCTTTTTCGTCATGTACTACATGGTTTATTTTTTGACCAAGTTCATTCATTTAATGGCTAAGTAAGAAAGAAATAAACAGTTATGCCACTGAGAGAGGCATCTCCCACTGACAGCAGCTAATCCTGTAATGCTGTTTTGCCTCCTGAAAGTATCTTCACATTTTTCTCTTCTTTGAAGAAGTGTACTGAAATACCTGAATTCCCTTAGTTACTTGACCACTTGTTATTCCGTGGGGTGGGAAACTATTTAAACCAAATAATTCCTCTCTTTTAAAAAGAAATTATAATTATGAGGGATTTCTGGGTGAAACGATCTCCTGTAGAGAACACTTAGAAATTCTTCCAGAATGTACCACTGGGTGTGGTGTGAGATGCCATCCATTTCCCCTCCCAGAGACAGCAAACAATTTGTTCCTCTCTGGTCCTGTTAAAACATGGAGAGGTTTGGTCCCTGCTAAAAATGGGAAGAGGTAAAATCTCTTGGGTGCATCCCCTGAAGGTTTCTCCTGAAGGGCTGACACATCAGTCCCTCAGTTCAGCGCTGACACCCTTGGGGTTGGGAGATCAACTGCCTTGTGCAATGGATTCTGCTGTGGGTCTCCTATCTTCTGGCCTAACAAGAGCATTTGCTTTTCCTGAACCCTTCTGGGGAAAGAGAGGAAGGTTTTTAAGGTGCCAGGGAGCAGGCAGAATGAAGTCCTTTCTCTTTGGTGCTGTGCAGGGAAGTGGTGAGGTATGGATTCTTGACCTAGCTTTAGATAAAAGCAGCCTTCTACAAATTCAGGCAGGGGCTTGCAGCTCTGCTCCCTAGGTAGAAGGGACCAGCAGGATGCCCGCGTCACTTTAAATTTTGGGCTAGGCTTTTACAAAGCTTAGCAAGGTTGTGTTTCAAGACTGAAGAAACCTACCTCAATTTAAGTGCTCTGAAGCAGAGCTCTGGAGCTCAGCCTTATTTCTAGAAAAACGTTGTTGTTATTCTTATGATTGTTATGATTTCAATCTTATTTCTAAAAGCTTTTTTTAAAATGGGAATTAAATATAGTGTGGGCACTTTTAAGATCCTGACATTTTGGTGAATCATATGACAACTCGGAAATGATTCATCCTAACTGAAAACCGTTACTTTGGCGTCAGCCTGGTTTCACTGGTTGATTTCAAATGAAAAACAAAAACAGCATCAAAACTTTCATAAAATGCTATTTGAGGAGTGCAGCAAATGACAAACAGCGAAGTCTTCTGAGGCGGCTGCACTTTTATTGAAAAGGATAATAAACCCCGAAGTAAATAGGGGGAGGAAATGATGAAGTAACCTATTGGTCCTGCAGCAGCCCTGTGGCACAACGTGTGACAGTCTGCAAATCCTGGCACCTATTTCTGGAAAATTGGATGGTTGTTATAACTTTATGTGGCAATGAATGAATGAACTATTGTAGAATTAGTCACTGCAGGCATAACAGGAAAAAAAAATCTTTTCATGTCATATTTTCTGAGATGGAAAATGTGGATGAAGCCACTGTGCCTTGACTGCAGTTAAGGAACATAGTCCTGTTTAGTAACAGAGGTGAGTTTATCTCATGGTATATGCTTGAGCACCAGTGTATGTGGCAAGGAAAGGGAAGTGTCTCACACTGGCTGCAGAACTTTCTGTCCTGTCTTAAAAGCTTCTGGATAAAAGGTGGCCTTTAAACCTGTTTTTCATCACATTAATACTCTGTTTTAGGATCTTTGTTTTTTTTCTCTGGCAATAGTGAGATTTATTTCTGTTGCACACATCTGAAGAACTGCTGCTGGAGTGCAATAAGCCATTTTGGTAGTTATAAACCTCTGAGCTGTGCTGGGAGCATCTCCCTAGCTGAGGCAACAGAGCTTTGATTTTCCCTGGAGGAAGCCAACAGAGAACTGAGTCTGACTCATTCCTGCGAAACTCTTTCAGCCTGCCTGTCTTGCCCTTTCTCCTTTCTTTTATTTGCACCATGGAAGGAGGTCAGTGTTTTTTCTCAGTTACTTGATTTAGTGCTTTCTGAGAGGACCACACTTCTATGGTAATTATATCCATAACCAGTGTTACGAGCAACCTGGAACCACAGTCACTGAGGTGAAACTTCACCTGGTGCAGATTTCATTGCTCCATTAACTGCAGTAGCATAGCTGGGTTCTTGTTATGTATAGTAGCTGCTGGATTTTAGTAGGATTTTCATGGACCTGTGTTAATTGAAATTTCATTTTCAAGTAGTTAAAAGGGACAGCTGAGCAAGAGATACAAGATTCATTAATGCCATTAGTTCATTAGTATTATTCATCAAAACCGGTGTTACTCTGCCATCAAATTATTACTATGCAATTCTCTGAGTCGGCTGCAACCTGAATTTCTGCATTGTTCAGTAATTACCTGGATGGGATTGCTTACTATGGAATTTTGACAGCCACAGTTGTTATTTGGAAAAACAAACTAGTATGGGTCTCTCTGTTGCTACTGGTAGATTGTTGTCAGCAACTGTGCTGCTTGCAGCAAGGGAAGCTCTCCCTGTGCTGTGCTGTGATTTTACTGCAGCTTTTAATTGCAGTACACCCCTGAGCTTGTGTCCCTGTACAGCCATGAGGAAGAACTGTATAATCAAGGGGCTTTCTGTAGGCAACAAAACCCCACAACCCAAACCCAAAAACACAAAGAAAAAGCATTAGGGAGGTAGGCACTTATGAGAACACCTCAGTGTATCTTAATGTTTGTCTTTGGTGGCAGTTTTGCCATTTTATAGGTTTATCATCCCTTTCCATTGACTGCAAGGGGAATCAAGGGACCCTGTAATCTTAAATGCCTTGGTGGAAGTATTTAAGTGATATGCTGAACAGGTAGACCCAAATATATAGGTGAAATTCCAGATTCTGATCAGTTCTCAGTGTTTTTCTTCTTGTTGCGTGGCTTCCTTTGAAACATGTACCTGAAGTGCAATATAGGAAAAAGTGTGAAAATGAAGGGTGAGAAAGCAACAGGGAATTTATTCAGGGTGGATGTTGTTATGTGATCAAGCAGAGTAGCTTTGGAACGAGAGGGAATGTGAAGTAAAACGGTAAACAGGCAAATAGCCTGTGCTACCTGGGAAACAATGTGTTCTTACACTCTGAATATAAAAGGAACACTTTGTTCCTGGATTATTCCTTTATTATGTGATGGCAAGCCTTGCTCCACAGTGCTCTCTGCTGGAAGTTTGCTATATTATCATTTTCTGTCAAAATTTCAGTAATTCCACGTTTTTTTTGCCTTGGCTAAGTAGGTAAAATTATATTAGTTCTTCTTAAGTATTTATTCCCACTGTGAGATAGTATCAGGTATAACAGCCTGTAGTGGGAGTGCAGAGCAAGTGCAATCTATTCTCAGGAAAATTGTCTTCAGTAGTGAATGAGAGCAGGTAACAGAACTTTGTCTTGCCATAAGGAAGTACAAGTCCTGTGTCTAAATACATATCTGCTACAAACTGCCAGTGTAATTGTGCTTCTGAGGAGTTTTACAACATCCATATATGTTGTACGTTACTCCTTTGTTTCCAGCAGCAAGTCGATGACTACTTGAATGTCTACTGCTCAGTACCAGAGACTGTCCAGAAGGAGAGTGCTTGGGAAACACAGACGTATGTTCGCTTCTGTGACGGCCAAGGAGTGGCACTGACCCTCAAGCCAGAGCACAGGGTGGAAGATGTTTTGTCTTTGGCATGCAAGGTACTCATTTTTTTCATGCACAACTGCAACTGTAATACCTGTGGACTTGACAAGGAGCACATGTATCAGAAAATATCTAAATAGCAAGGGCATAATACCGGTATCTCTGTGTCACTGTGTTAAGCCACATTGCTCTGTTTCATTTGCTTGTGTTATTTATGTGTTGTAGCCAAGGTAGCAGGGTTGTGGAAAGGTTTTCAAGAAGCATTGCTTGAGACAGTGTACAGCGAATACTTAGAGCATTGATAGCTTGCCAGGTCGTCAGCACCTGAGAAATCTCAGCACGTGTCCACTCTGCACTGTCATTGCAGTAGACGAAGTTGTTCTGTGAAAATCAATCACAAATGAAATGGGGACCGGTTGAGTTAATGTCAGGAGATTAAGACATTTAATACTACTGTGGCAAAAGGCTGTCATATATGTTTGCTTTCTAAAGGACCCTTTTACGCCTTTTAAATTAAATACCAGCTCTACTTGTGAATTTCAAAGAGTGCATTCCCTTCTGAAAGTCAATGCCAGCAATTAGCGAGGGACTGCTGAAGATCTTGGGATAGAAAACTGACTCACAGGTTGAAGGTAAAATAAAAATACCAGTCTTAACTACAGACAGAAGACCAGCAACTCTAGACCATCTCAATGTACCTAGCACCTTTGTCTCCACCTGTCAGTGCTTGAACGTTCATTTACTTTCATGATTCAAGTCACTTAAATTATGCAAACAAGCTTTTTGGAAGAACTAACTTTTTACTGCCAGGTTCTGTTTTCTGACAACTGTAATTATAGTTTATTTACTTCACAAGTAGAGGGGGAAAACAGGAAAAAAAAGGAGTCCTGCTCTGTACCAAATCCAGCTGTAGCTTTTGGCATAGGTTAGTGTGAACTTTCAGGTGAGCTCATTCAACTGGCTTGAAGTTAATGACTGCTGAGGCTTCTAATGGAGGAAAGGACTCAATTTTATGGCTCTTGCACCTGGTAATGTTGTAAACAAAAATAAATTATTAAATAATACAAGCTTTAAAAAAATCCAAGGTGAACTATAGTTTTAAAATCAAAATAAGTGCACAGATTTAGCCAAGTCACAATGCAGCTCCATGGCATCACTGAAAAGAAATTATCTTCTCGTTGCTTTTGCTGGTGGAGACTGTGTCCTGGACAGACAGCTTAATGCCTTTCTTTACGTTCTAAAAATTCACCGTATCTAGTCAGGCTAAAGGGGTTGTCTGAGCCGTCATTTGACCGCCAGATGGCACGGTAGAGCTGAAACAGTTGGAAGTCGTTATGGTGCCATGCAAGACCCCTGAAAGAGGAAATAAAATTTATAAACATAAAATTAAGTTGAAAAGGAAATTCCTTACCTCTCTTACTCTATCATTCCAATATATTTGTAACTGTAAACCTGACTTTTAATTGTCATTGTCTGTATCACATGAAAGTTTAAATTATTTGATTTTTTTCTTAAACATTTTTTTTGTTTTATTTTTTCTTTTTATTCTGTGTGTAAAGCTTTTCATAAACATTCTCTAATGCTGAATACTTTCTGCTCATCTATGCCGGTTCTTTTTCTTCTTACATTTTCATTCTCCTCTGGTGAGTGTAAGGAATCTTTCTTCTTAACAGAACATGTTTGAATGTTATGTGTATAAGGATGAAGTTCAAAGGGGGTGGTGTTTTTTTCTTTTGAAAAAAAGGTGAGGCTTTTGGATAGCAGGTATAGAAAAAAAATGTGCGTTTGAATACGGTTGTTCAGGATACAGAACACATGCAACTCATAAACTGCTACACTTAATAAAATGTTAAAGTAATTACTAGTTACTCAGCAGATTTAGATTTCATAAGCTGTAAAGATGCATTAAAGAGGTTAACCCTCAGGGATGCAGTCATTCCTTCTCCTTTAGAAATGTTGCTTCATCATGTTTTAGAAATGTTGCCCTATTAATAATGCTAAAATGAAATGTTTTGTGCAGTGGTCTCACCAGAATCCCAATTTTCAGAGCGATTCTACTCAGGGGCTTGACAACTTTCTGGCTAATATACTCTGGGAATATTCCTATTTCCCTTTAACTTCCTGTTGACACAGGATTTTTCCTTTGACCTCACATAGTGAGGGGAAAAAAAAGGTGAAACTCTGATCATAGATGAAACCCAGCAATAAAAATAAAATCCAATAAAAGCAAACCCTTAGGGAACCTGCTTCCTGTCCCCTTTCCTCACATCCTGTACATGCATATACATTTTCTACATCAGAAGGAAAAGTTGCTGAGCATTAAAAGTAGTCACAGAAAAAGATGGTTGTGAATTTAAGTTTGAAAGGACAGAAAACAGTTGTGATACCTTTGGAAACTTATAGCAGTGCTCAGTTAATCTTAATAGACAAGGCATAGTGTTTATGAAAGGATTTGGGATAGTTGATTGTAAGAGAAAAAGGAAATTGCACTTGAACCTTATCTTCTAAGCAATGCAGCTAGTTTTGTCAATTTGTTTATACCATAAAAATAGTTATAAAATCTCTTGTTGAGCAAATGACTTTTGTGTGATTTCTAAAGAGCTTTTTGTGTGTGTCACTTCTTTGTCTTCCGGGATTCTGGAAATAAATAACAAATTCCAAACCCCATTCTCTTTATTCCTTAGATGAAACAGCTGGAGCCAAGACACTATGGCCTACAACTCAGAAGACTGGTTGATGAAAATACTGAATATTGTGCTCCTGAACCGTATGAATACATAGTAGACCAGGAAAGTGTGACTCCTTTTAGATAAAGCTCTGTGATGTCTGTAGCTACGGTCGAATTATCACCCGCAAATATGTGTGATTTGGATCTAAAATAAGGTTTTAAAGCTGTTCCTGGATTGCATTCTGCCATCCTCCTTCACACAGTCCATGCCTGTGCAGACATTTGAATGGCTCGGCACTGAAAACATTTTCTTCAGGAACCATTTGAAGATCTAAGTGGGGTTTCTGGTACAAAAGTGAAGTGTCAGTCTCTACTCCAGGCTGAGTTTTCTATATTTAGCTTATTCTGCATTTAATCCCAGTGATACCAATGATGTTTGCACAGTCCCATGGTTTTCTGTGTAAAGACAGCAAACTTTGGCTCTTTATTGATGCAAAGAATATTGTGCTGATTTCTCATGCTTTACCTTTGGGGTTTGGTGCTTGAAATTTCATAATTTGATGGCTTCTGTTATTTTTTTTTCCAACAGGTGTATGATGAAATAGAAATTTGTCCATTGAATGTTTATCACGTTCATCTTACAAAGACTGAAAGCATAAGTGATTTTGGTAAGCTCTCAGGACTTTTTCCATTTTATTCTCCTCATTGGTTACTTTCTGTCTTCAGGACTTTTCTGTCTCTGAGAGCAGGGAGAGCCATCCATGACAGCTCAAAATCTAAGTCTGGAAGGAGGTCAAGGCATTATAGCAAAGACCCAAACTGGTTGTTTTGCACCCATAAGTGCATTTCTTATGTTTGGTAAGGATCCACTTTCTAATTCTGCTGTGCTGGCCAAATAATTCCAGCACAGAATTGTTAGGACACAAAAGGTCTTTGCCAGGATTAATACAATTGGTGTCAGTCAGGCCATGGTCAAAGTCTGCTCTTTTCTTTTTTCGTAGTGGAGTCCTCTGTTGTAAGAGTATCATCAGTGTCTTTTGGTACAAATTCTGACAGGCTTTTTATCTATGGGAAGTGGTTATGCCTAGGCATAATTATACACCTTGCAAATATACCTTTTGTAAGGCAGCTCTGTGCTGTTCTGTAGCTGCAAGCCCATTGGTATACATTATTCCTTTCTGGGCTGTCTCACTATCTATATGCATTTGCTGCTTTATGGTTTGGATTTCCATTCTTGGATCTGTTTAAGATACCTCCATGTCTAATGAACATGCTTCAGAACTATTACTATACCAATAAGCTGTGTTACTAAAGTGTCATATAGGGCTGAGGCAGAAAATTTTATTTTTCACATCACAGCCTGACATTTTGTCAAAGTTGAAAAGTCCTTTTAACTTTAACAGGCCTTACAGTGAGAAACAAAGTGGTAATTTCTCTGTGTTCTGTGGGTGTGTGCTTATGAGAAGTATCCTCCCTCTGGTTGTATAGAGTCTACTAAATGCACAAAATAAAAGCAAAGTGTTTCCAGGAGAGTTTATTTGCTTTGATCCTGTTTTACTTCAGGCTTTGCTGTCACAGCACAAGTTGATGAAAATCAGCATCTCACCCATATACTTGTAAGTGATGTTCTCCCTGGTGGACTGGCATACAAGGAAGGTATTGTATCCTATTTATGTTTAATACAGTACTTCACTATCTTTTTAAAGTCCAAAAACATGAAGGAGCTTTAGTCCTGCTGTCTGAAATAGTTCTTGGCTTTTACTATTCATAGATTTCTTTCCTGAAGACCATGGAAAGTATGTGATATTAGGAAAGATAATGTACACAGAGTAACTGAATTACCCTTTCAATATAATGGGGGGAGTTCTTGTTCACCCTCGGAGGCAAAGTCTGCATTCAGCCATCCAACTAAATGCTCTTGCACATTGGAACAGGCTGGAGAAAGAGCTCATCTCACACTGGGGAACCTCATGGGTTTGGTGAGTCTCCAAGACCCATCACTTCCACTTTTACACGCAATGAAAAGTAGCCAGTAAAATTAAATTTTTAGAGTAGCCAGTGAATTAAAACCACAAAAATAAAAGGTGAATCAGGATAAGGTTTGGTTTGTGACACTTTACATTTCATATTCCCCCCTCCTGTGACTCTTTACAGTTCACGTTCACCGCACCCACTTTTTTTTTTTTTCCTCCTTCTTCCCTTTCACATGTTCCCAGGACTCCGAGTAGGCAATGAAATCCTGAGTGTAAATGGAGAGGCTGTGTCTGATCTTGACCTCAGGCAGATGGAGTTACTGTTTTCAGAGAGAAGTGTAATGCTTACTCTGAGAATAAACCATTATGGGACCCAGCAACCCTTGTGTGCATCCTGGTCAGATGGTGACATTTCCAGGGACCCAAAGAGTTTGTTACCCCCTGCAAACCAGTCACAGCTCCTGGAAGAGTTTCTAGATAAATTCAAAAAGAACACAGCAAACGGTAAGAAATTGACAATAATTCCATTACTTTCACCTCACTTCCAACACTGCTGGTTTTTTAAACTCATTTATCTTTACAATCTTGTGCTTGCCTTGCTGAGAAACCCAAATACAGATTAAGTTCCATTTATGCACTATACCTGTTTGTTATTTTATTATTTTCTAGAAAGTAGGAGTGGAACAGGATGTGATAATTTCTGCAGGGAAATTAGATTCTTTGGATCAGTTGGGCTGCACCATCCAGCATTATCAAGCAAGTGCTCTCATAGCTGTGATGTGTCATCTTGGGTACCTCCAGTACATCCACTTCCCAGGCATCACTGGTTGACATGATTGTTACGTGAAAGGGAAGGGGGTAGGGGAGGATAAGGGAGAGACAAATTTGGTAAG